ATTTAAAGTATGAGGAAGTGCAGCATGCTCAGAATGCTCATTCTAATAAAAGTCTGTTAGCTGGAGCTTTTTGGGTATGCAGTTTTTTATACTTCTTTTTACTGATGAACAAAGCATATTGTTTTTACTGACTGTATTTAGTAATCAGTCTTCAAGTATTCCATTCTTACATAGCCTTTGACATCTTCATGCTTTCTTCAATCTGAACTTTAACTAAAATCTTGCCTACAGGAAGCAAAAGGTCATCACTTGGTTCTTATTTCATCTGATAGATCTTGTGCACTCATGCACTTCTACAAATTTGTGCAAAAAAAATCCAATAATCCATTTTATTTTTGTTACTAGCTTGGTGGTGTTTCTGTGATTGTGATCTTGAGGAAGGCTATTATTGTGCTAGCAATGTGATTGAACTTCCTCTCTCCCTCTGCCTGCCACTGAACCATTACAGTAAGGGTACCAGCAACTCTGTTAATTACCAGCTCCTATTCACACGGAAGCCATGAATGCGCTTTGTTGACACTCTCATTCCACCTTGACAGAGCGTTCTTCCAGCCTTTATGGTTCATTGGTTTTCCCTTTTGCTGGTTTTCTGTCTCTCACTGATTCCCGGTCAGTTGCTGCAGTTAAGAGTTTGCTGGTACATTAGCAAGAAAAGGACATGCATACCACTTCTCTGTAGTTTAGATAAAGCGTGAAGAATAAGTTGAGATGAAGGAGAGCTTTTGTAGCTTGATGTGGTTTATACGTCCTCCATTTCCTTTTACAAAGTACAGAATACATTCCAGAACATATTATCCAGAGGGGCTTGCATGTCCACATGGGCTGTGGGTGTTTGAGGAGTATTTAGGGGGAAGAGATGGTGAATATGATAATAACATATAAGCAATAACACAAACACACAGGAAGCCAATATCAATCCTTAACCCTATTTAGCACAATGAAGAATGGGTCCATATTGCAAAAATTTAAGCACAAAGGACTCTTTCTCTTACAATTTTAATACTGTATAAATTTTTTTGCATAGAAGATTAGAATATTAAAATGAAAGTTGGAAATATATAACCACCTGCCATAACAACTTAGAAGATACAGTAGCATCAGGAGCATTTCTAGCCTTTCATTCAAATTAGGCCATTGATATTGATACTCAAATTATATAAATAGTTACCTGCACACGAATCCGGTCCGTGGTCTTCCGTCTGCTCGCCACCAGAGGTCACCTTCTGATTACATTGACCCTCACACCACACAGACTGTTGCACGTCACCCTGGACTACATTTCCCATGCTCCATTGTACTGATTAGACTCACCTGCAGCCAATCACACACACACACTATACAACAACCACTCAAATCCTTCTCTAATCGCAGAGTATTGTTCTGCGTTTATCACTCTCCTAGTGATAGCTGCTTTACGGAGCCATTTCGTGTTTTTATAGTCTAGTCTAGTCTTGCTATTTCCTGATTCCTGCCGGTATACCTTGGATTATCTATTGTTTTATCGTTCGGACTCTGTCTGCCCCTGCCTGGACTATTGTTGCGTACCTGGATTATCTCTCTTTGCCTTGCCCTGTTGGATATTGTTCGCCGGAGTCTTATAATGTCTGTCTTTGGAATACTCTTGTGTCTTGCCCGTGCCTTACCTGTTTGCTGGTGTTTCGACCCTGCCTGTGTTATTGACTACGTCTCTGTCTAATAAAGCTTGCAAATGGATCTGAACGTCTCTCGTCTCGTTCGCCCGGTTACAGCACTAAAGAGTCGTTCACAAGCTGCATGATATTCTGATAAATAAATAATAAATAATACATGAATAGTTGATATTTCATTACTCAAGAATTCAGATTGCTACACATACTTTTAGTTAAAAAAAACTAATTTAGTAAAAACCTAAATGAGGCTAGTTTTCAAAACAATAGAAACTCTTCCTAAAATGACTTTAAGAGAAGATGAAAACATTACTTAAAAAAAAATAAAAAATCAGAAGACGGACCATGAATATGTTTGTTACAGAGCCTTTACATAAGTGGCTGCTCATCACTTCCATGCAATTTTCCTCTGCTGTCTGTGCTTTTTATGCATACATTGTGGAAATTAGACAGCTTTGGTCCTGATCCATGCAGTTACATTTGTGTATTTTATTGCAATTTGCTAGTTTTATAAAAGCAGTTAGACACTGGAGGCAGTGGTGTATCATGAATATAGTCTCACTTTTAACAATAGAAACCTAACACTAGGTTACTCTTTGACCATGACTACGTTCACAATATAACACAACCTCTCTTATTGCTTGTTTTCAAAGACCTCATAAGTTCAATGTATGTTGGGTTTGACAATGAGCTTCATCAAAGATATAATCCTAAAAGGAGAAAATACTTTTATGATTAAATAAACAAATTAACATTAAATATATTCATATTTTTTTTTATTTAATATTAAAAATATATTTTAAAAGATAAGTTTTTACATATTTTAAATGTTTAATATTTAAAAACATTTAAAAAGCTCTAAACTGTAAAATGCGATTGTAAAGCATAAAGATTTAGACAATAACTGTAAAGCTGCATTGAAAATGTGTTTTGTGAAAAGCACTGTAAAAATCATTTGAGTTTGACTCAACATGACATTTAGACCAGTGTTGTACTTTCAAATGTTGCTTTCCAGCTTTTCAAATGGCAACTTTTCAAGACATTCAGCAGGAGAATTCATAACCTCGAAATAACTAAAATAAGCAGAAGTAATTAGGCCCAATTTAACCTTTCTTTTATTTGTTTGTTCCTTGAATTAATGTTTAGTCAGAACAACATTCACATACATTTTACACAAAATTACAGAAATGGAAATGGTTTTAGTTCTTCTTCTTCTTCTTTTTTTTCTTCAGTTTTTAGTTTCGTTTTTCCTGAGAGGAAACTAAGAACATTTTCAGGATCAAACCCACACAAGCAGCTCTAATACCACAGTTAAAGAGTGTATCATCTAGAAAGCATAACATTTGTGTACAATCATCTAATAAGCATCAAGTGTCATCAACAATAAAACATGGTGAGCATACAGTTTTCAGTAGCCCATATCAATGCTGTCACTCACACTATAGTCCATGAGTTCCTCTGCCCTTCTCTGAAGACAGTCCTGACATTCCCTGAGGTAGACTGACCTCCAGAAGGTTCTGCAGGTGTTTAATGTAGTTTATGGCAGCCCGTAGTGTCTCTACCTTGCTGAGTCTTTTATCCTCAAATTCCTGTGGCAAATGTTCGCGGAGTCTCGCATATCCCTCATTGACGCATCGAACTCTCTGCCGTTCTCTCTCGTTACGTTTGTGGATAAATGCAGGTTCCAAAGAGTAGTTGTGCACACTGACGTTCCCATAGTAGGACAGGTAGGAAAAGCACCTGAAGTACCGTTGACTGTTGACTTGCTCTTGGTAATTCTGGGGATTTTTCAGTGCATCTTTGAAGGGGGAATACTGGTGGTTCAAAGATAAGCCAAATGTCAAGGGATGAGACACTCGGTCCATGACACCATAATCTGATCCCATTTCTCTGGGGGTGGGAAAAAACATGAAAATTTCATCCAATTTATAAAACTATTTTGAATTAGGACAAATAAGCTGACAAATAAACTTACTTTGCAGAAGACCTTTGCACTGATGTAGTCTGTCTCTGCAGTTATTAGACATTAAACATGAATAAACAATGCTGAAGTTTTCGCCTTGGATTCAGTCAGCATATTATCATCTTCATCTTCTGTCTGCAAGTAAAAACTTATTTTTTCACCCTTCCTTCATCTTATGAGGGCAGGTGAATGAAGTGATGTAAGTAGGAGGATGTCCTCTGTGAGACAATCATCTCATCATTAGCATACTTCTTGCAGAGAAACACGCCTCTGTGTAGTGCATGATATTCTATTTTTGTTTTCCTGTTGTAGTTTTATGTTGTAATTTCGAAATTCCAATAGTGAACAAATCTTTTGGAAAATAAAGGCAAGTCATGTCTGAACAGTGAGAATACAGATCCATGCAGTCATTGGAGACAAACTCAATTATAGCCTAATAAAAAGAAAAATGAAATGAAAAATTCCTACTAGTGAAGAAAAGAAAAGTAAAAGAAAACAAGTATTTTTCTTCTGTAAATTGTATCCAAAGGAAGTATTTGCACGCATGAATGAAACAAAATTTTAGTGGACAATCTTAAAACCAGTTTAAAACACAAACTTTCCTGCCCTCAGCGTTTTAAGTGTTTATGTTTGCATATTTTCAAAATGAGCATCAATTCAAATTAAATTTAATAATTGCTGGATTATTGAATAACTGGTTAATTGCAAGTTTCATGAAATCATGTCTTAATAGATTTATGGAAAAAAGTCCAGGCTTGATTTCTAGCCTACTTTGCCCACATATTTATTTTTTGTGTCTCTGAAATTTTATTTAACCCATATATCGCATTCATATGCATGAAACTGACAAAAATAAACACATTTGCCACTCATTTATAACACAATTTACTCCTTCTAAAAACCCTCCTTCTATGTCATGCTTGCAATCCCTGGGCATATGTTGCAGTTCATGAAATCTTTGTAAATAAGTTGTAATTGTGGGTGTAATTGTGTAATTAGTTTGTTATAACAATGTTATCTAACTTTTTTTTTTTTTTTGAAAAATAGCAATAAATGACATTTACTATTATGAAATGTTTTTATTATAGACAAGAACACCCAGGTCTAAATAACCTGTATTCATCTAAGGGTGGCTAAAAGCATGAAAGACAAAACTACAAGCCATACAAAAAAAAGGGCATAAAAACAGCATTCAGTTTAGCTTAGCTCATTTTGGTGTAGCTTGTGTAGTATACTGTGCAGCATGATAGTAAGCAGAGCAATAGTGCGCTGTACTGAATCCAATCCATTCTTTCCAGGTCGTAGTGAAAACATTCGCCTGGAATGGATTGTGGATTGTGGATTGAGGCAGTGATTGGAGGATATGTTGGGAATGAGAACTGGAGGAGGCTGGGAAACAAACAGGGAGTGTTGTGTGGACTAGGGGCCGCAGTGTTCATATTATACGCATCGATATCACAAAAATGATCGAATAAACGGCGCGTTTGGCGGATTGCAATGCACAACTAGCGTGCAGGGGAACAGGAGACGATATTTCCCGCAAATCTTTACCAAAGACAAACCACATCAATCAAATCCAGCATGCGGCATTTTATGCGCTGATCTTGCATCTGAAATGAACAGAAACGCGTCCTGAGACACTGACATATCTGTGCTATCTCATGGTAATTCTGACTGGATTTGTGAAGACGATTGACATTAAAGGCGTTAGTTCTTCATTCATGCAAATATCGCACGGATACTGAAGATCGTCTGTTTGTCTGTCATTTTGGGTTTATTTTAGTGACAATAAAGGACTCGTCCAGTCACAAGTGATTCAACATCACAGGTGAGACGGCATACACTGATATAACAGTCCCTACAATTTGCAACCAACATTACCTCTAACTCATTAATGGTTGTTTCTTCATGCCACTATATATAGCTATATAGCACATACGGCTCTCGTGGACTCATCAAAAACTCTTTTTAAACACTTCTCACCATCTCATTAGTTTATTTTATTCGCTCGCTTCAACAAAGGACATGTTTGCGTCTTTTCCCCTGAACCGTTATGAGCATAATCATTATATCTCAAATCACCACTCATTACTTTATGTGAGGAAAATACATTTTACAATTTTTTGTAATAAAATGGCCGACTCCTTTATCTTGCTACGGCTAATTTCTTTATTGTACCTGCGACATTTTAATTTGTGTATTGTTTTTGCACAATAAATATTGAAACAGTTTATAAACACTGTGTGTTTACCAGGAAACAACAATTGTGTGGGTTCAACCCATCTCAACATAATTCTTAAATGTTTTTTTAAAGAAAGTGCTACTAATTTACCAGAGTTTTACTGCGTTAATAGTATTCGTGGCATTTTGCTATAGTTGCTATTGTAATTTGTAGTTTCAGACTTTGTGGGTATCATGGTAGTTCTTAAGTGATCAAAATCAGTCACCTGAAATAGTGTTTGTTTCCTTAAAATATTCATGCAATAATATTTACATTGATTTATCATGATGTTGTCACTGTAAGTGTAAGTTTTTTAAAAATTATTATTATTATTTTTTTGAAGTGAAGGGCTCTTCAAACTCAATACTGAGGAGGCTTTGGTTTTGATTTTTGATGATTGAGTATATACATATTTGTACTGTTTTTTAAAAGATCCTTCTAATTATTATAGGCTATACAATTTTTCTAGATTGAATTTGGAAATGAAATCAACTCATACTTGTGTGGTTGATTGATAGCAAGATCTACAGTGTTTAACTTTTACATGAAAATATTAGGCAAATATTTTCAACTTAATGCAAAGCAGACTTTGTTAAATGAAAAAACACTGTTTTTAAAATGAAGGTTAATAATAAAGTTAAAGCAAGGGTGAACATTCATCACACTTGTCTGTTAAAGCAGCTCAGTAGTGTTGTCATGAACTGATTTACATGTAGTAAATTGTACTGAAGGCAGGAATATCTGGTGTTTATTATTGGTATATTGGTATAATTGAAGAAAGCAGCATTTATCTGTATTTTTAGTTCATAAGCTGGGTTTATGAAGAGTTTGAACAGATTTAGTCTCAGCAGCATGATCATACAGTATGATGCTTTGCATTTCCACAGCTTGAATGTTGTCTTTAGTGCTGACACAGCAGCTGCTGAATCTAAGGCAAAACCAACCTCATGATGAATGTTTCAGCCTATTCTTTAGCACTGCAATAAGGAATCTGAACACACATAGTAGTTCATTAATGTTGAGGTTGTGTAGTGGTTACAGATCTTGACTAAATATGTTCCTTTAAGGTACCAAAATGGACCCTTTAGGTACAAACATGTACCTTTTGAAAAGGTACCGCCCCAGTGACAGCTTGTGTACCTGTGTTTTTGAGAGTGTACCTAAATTCAAACCTAAAACCTTTCAGTCAGCAGACTGAACACGAATATGAATATGTATTAGATATGTATTAGAATATGTATTAGAACCTTATAGGTACAAAAGTGTACCCTATAAAAAGGTATCAGCCCAGTGACAGCTTTTGTAGCTTTATTTCTGAGAGTGTAGTGTGAGTTGCTTTTATCACAGTATATTCAATTAAATTAAATCATGTTTATTTGTATAGCGCTTTTTACGATACAAATCGTTGCAAAGCAGCTGTATAATATATGTTTCTACAATATATTTAGTAGTAGCTTATCAGTGGTGACTATGTCTGTAAATGTACATATGGCAGAAATGTACGGAAAAATCAATTAAAGACGTAAACAAACAGACTGTGAACAGCAATTATTATATGTTGCAATCAAACTTATAGAAAAATTCGGTAGATCTGTATGTTGTTTCAGGGTTGGCATCATCTGAGGTCCTCTGAGGGGTTGGCATAATCTCTTCTCAGGTGTTCTGGATCCAGACTGAAGCTTGTGTAAATCCTAGTTACCACGGGATGTCAATCATGTGGCAAAAACAGAGAAACAAATAGAGACATAATTAGCATAACTGCTGTTCCAACCAAGCAAAATTGATTAATTTAACTTAAGCTAGTGCAGTTTGTGTTCTATGGTGGCTGATATTCTTCATAGAGATAATTTTTTTGCAGAAAGGAGCACAGTTGAGCAGACAACCTTTTCTAAAATTTTAGACATAAACGGAAGATTTGAAATGGGTCTGTAATTTGCCAGTTCACTAGAATCTAGTTGTGGTATCTTAATAAGAGGCTTAAAGGGTTAGTTCACCCAAAAATGAAAATTAGGCTGTGTTTTACTCACCCCCGAGGCATCCTAGGTGTATATGACTTTCTTCTTTCAGACGAATCCAGTCGGAGTTATATAAAAAATTGTCCTGGCTATTCCAAGCTCTTATCATTGCAGTCAGTGGGTGTTGCAGTGCTTCAGTCCAAAAGAAGTGAAATAAAAAGCGCCATCCATAAAAAAAGTGTCTCACACAGCTCCGGGGGGTGAACAAAGGCCTCCTGTATTGAATCGATGCATTTTTGTAAGAAAAATATCCATATTCAAAACGTAATAATCACTTTAATCTAGCTTGCGCCAACAGTTGTACATGGAAGCAGCTCCGGGCTGATGACGTATGAGTTCAGCGTTGCGCACTTTTTAATATAACTCCGACTGGATTCGTCTGAAAGAAAAAAGTCATATACACCTAGGATGACTTGAGGGTGAGTAATTTATGGGCTAATTTAAATTTTTGGGTGAACTAACCCTTTAAGAGTGCGCTGGCCACGAGCGATGACATCGTGGAGGCTATTGTCGGACCCACACACACATTTCATGAGGAAAGTTAAAGTGCACGTTATAATCAGCCCAGAAGTTTCGTCTGAATTTAACGTGTTTCTACATTCACATGCAAATGACTTGTTGCACTTATGAATATGATAACTTTCCGGCATCAATTGTAGTAGGGTAAAACGTAATTCCGCTTTCGAAATGGTCTGTTTTGCCCTGCTGAAGCTGTGTGTGAACAAGCCGCGGCTGCAGAGTGTGAGCTGCTCCGTCTCTCAGTCTCACGCAGCCTCAGAGTGAGTTCTGCAACAACGCTTAGCTGCCCGCCGGTGCGCCTGCCTATAAATCGGCCTAATTTGCAGCATAATCAGCCGATGCCGATTAATTAAAAAATGCCAAAAATCGGTGGGCCGATCAATCAGTCGACCTCTAGTTCAAGTTCAAGTTCAAGTTGAGCTTTATTGTCATTCCGCTACATGTGTGGACATACAGTGGAACGAAATGTCGTGTCTCACAGGACCAGGGTGCTACATAAATAAACATAAATATAAACATACAACACTAGACGTAAGAACAATTTTTAGACCTACTTAGCTAACTATCTGAAGCGGTAATCTAACTATACATATACTATAAATAGTTGACTATTGTGACGAGTGGGGGCGGGGCCGAGAGCCGCGGGAACGGAGCGAGGCGGGGGGGGGAATTGATAATGAGCGACACCTGCACCACTCACCGGTCTCGAGTCTCACGGAGGAGCTCCGGAAGGATAAAAGGGAGGAGTGACGACAGTGTCGGACGAGAGAGGACTATGCCTGGACTTTATTTTGTGTTTTGGTTTTGTTTGTGCACGACAGTCGTCCGCGAGGGGCTGTCACGCTATTTTGTGTTTGTTTATTTTATTATTAAAAGTATTTAAATGTTCGCCGGTTCCCGCCTCCTTCTTCCTGAACTATGATCTACGTTACAACTATACATACACATAACCTAAGACAGTCTATACAAGTACTTTACATAATAACTGTGCATGATATTGTGCAAAAGAGGTATTTAAGGTTAAGAAGCAAGTAGTGCAGTATGATTTGTGGTACATTCACAAGTAAACATTTGTGTTATCTTATTAAGTCCTTGTAACATGGAGTGTTTATAAGAAAGTGTCTGGTGCGTATAGAGAGGAAAGAGTGTGTTTTTCTACAGGTGGTTTGTCCAGGTCACCTGTGTGTAGCACACTCAGAATTGCACAATGTTTTTGAGGTTTTCAACAGTTTTCATGTTGTGCATGTGGTGTGGTGTGGTGTGGTGGGATGGGGGTAGAGAGGATCCTGGTTTCAGGAGGTAGGGTTGTGGATGAGGTTTCAGAGGGGGGTGAGATGATTGGAATTCAGGGCTCTCACAGCCTGGGGGAAAAAGCTGTTGAGCAGTCTTGCAGAGTGGGCCCTGATGCTCCTTTACCGTCTTACTGATGGCAAGAGCTGGAAGAGACTGTGGGAGGGATGGGTGGGGTCTTTCACGATACTGGTAACTTTACTGGAACATCGTGCAAAGAAAATGTCCAGAATGGAGGGGAGAGGGGCACCGATGATCTTTGCAGCTGTGTTCACTGTCCACTGTAGGGTCTTGTGGTCAGAAGCACTGCATTTCCCGTACCAGACAGTGATGCAGCTGGTCAGCACGCTCTCAGTGGTTCCCCTGTAGAATGTGGTAAGGATGGGTGGAGGGAGACTTGCTCTTTTAAGTCTGCGCAGGAAGTGGAGCCTTCTTGGAGAGTGATGTAGTGTTGGTGGTCCAGGTGATGTCTTCTGTTATGTGCACCCCCAGGAATTTAGTGCTGCTGACTCTCTCCACAGTCGAGCTGTCGATGTTCAGTGGGGGGTGGTCAACGGAGTTTCTCCTGAAATCCATCACAACCTCTTTTGTCTTACTCACATTGAGGGACAGGTTGTTTGCACTACACAATTCAACCAGTTGTGCCACTTCCTTTCTGTAGGGTGTTTCATCATTGTTGCTGATGAGACCTACCATAGTTGTGTCATCTCATCAGCAAACTTGATGATGTGGTTGGAGCTGAACTTGGCAGTGCAGTCGTGGGTCAGCAGCGTGAAGATCAGCGGGCTGAGCACTCAGCCTTGTGGGGCACCTGTGCTCAGTGTGGTAGTGCTAGAGGTTTTGTGGCCGATACGGACTGACTGAGGTCTTCCGGTTAGAAATTTCAGGATCCAATTTCAGAGGGAGGTATTTAGGCCCAGCAGGTTTAGTTTGTTGATGAGCTGTTGTGGGATTATTGTAAAGCACTGCAGTTTTTCTTTGGGTGAGATGAATGAAGCTGAAGTATTGGATGCTGTAGAATCTACATTTGTTATCACAGTAACTGTATCAAAATATAGTTAATTTTCTGGTTTGTTTGATTATTTTCTCTTTAATTTGTAACCTGCATCCTTAAAATGGCTTGACCAAACGTCTTCACATTATGAATCTTTTGAATTTAAAGCAAAAGGCTGTTTGAAACTGTTTGGACTGGCAATGCTTGAATTCATTTTGGTGACATTTGCACAAAGTTTTACGCATTCTGGTAGATGTGTATTTTGTTGTTTTGAACATATTTGTGCTATCGCTAACACTTTTTTAATTAATTTTTTCAGAGCAGTGCCATGCACCCCTCGTTCAAACAGCTGATGCCCACATAGAGGTCTCTGATCAGACACCCTCTGGCTGCAGAGGATGCTGGGAATGTGTCGCGGGCGCAGGAAGTTTGTGGCTGCCTCCCTCGCCCTGATCTTTATCCCAGCCCTCACCTGGCTCTATCTGTCATCCGCAAATTTCACAGGTATGACATTGCACATCACAGACGCATTTTCTGAGGTCTCAAACTTAAATTATTTTATAAAAATATAACATAAATTAAACATTTAGGTACATTTTTGGTGAATAGTTACCAAAATGTATATCCACATTATATATATATAAAAAATATAATAATGTAATTCCTGAAACGTGAACAATGGTAATGGGACTATTTTACACAATTCTGCATAAACATAAGAAGAAGTTCTATTCAGAAACAATATATTCTTGAACACAATAGATGTACTTGTGCTCCTTCTAGCACATAATGTTTGTAACAAATGTTTACTTAATTAAACCAAGATCAGATCTTACTGTGTGGTTTGTGGGTGTTTTTTTTATTATTTAAGTGTTTTATTGCTTATTTGGAAGGTTTGTAGCTGGCATGTATCCAACGGTACAATCATAATAAGGGTTACAAGGGTTCTAGGCACACTTTACAAGTGAGATACAAGATAAAACAATAAATCACCATCTATTCATTCTGATCCTTAAACATTACTGCTCTTGAGGAATGGGCCAAAATACCAGCAACCGTGTGTGAAAACCTTGTGAAGACTTACAGAAAATGTTTGACCTCTGTCATTGCCAACAAAGTGTATATAACAAAGTATTGAGATGAAATTTTGTTATTGACCAAATACTTGTTTTCCACCATAATTTGCAAATAAATTCTTTAAAAATCCTACAATGTGATTTTCTGGATTTTTTTTCTCATTTTGTCTCTCATAGTTGAGGTATACCTATGATGAAAATTACAGGCCTCTCTCATCTTTTTAAGTGGGAGAACTTGCACAATTGGTGGCTGACTAAATACTTTTTTTCCCCACTGTATGCATTCAGAACTCATCCCAGAGTGATATCTCCTCCTCTCTATAACACCATTTACTCTGCGGAGCATAGATTTATATTATGCAATTTCCACCATTGCATTGGTCCATTCTTTCAGTTCTTGGACACTGTCTTTCAGTATCTTAGAATAATCCTACTGACTGTTGTATTACCATAATAACATAATGTACACATTTTGATATCAGTTCAACTTAGTCAAATATAAGACAAATCCAATTTCTGCTTTAAAAAAGTCTCTAAAAAGACAATAGTGTCATTATGCAGCTCCAGTCAGTTCAGTGTTGATTCAGTTTAGTTCAATAACTGTGTAAAGTTAATCAATTATAAAACAAGTTCAATTAAGTAATAAGCAGCTCTACTGAAGAGAGTAGCGTTGTTATTCGGCTCGAGTCATTCAGTTATTCAGTGTTGATTTAGTTCAGTAACTGTGTCGAAGTTGCAAATTGATGATATTATTGAAACCAGACTAAGTTTGTTGACCAGTTCTCCTCTGTAATCTTGTAGCACTGTCACATAATATTTCATTTGTTAATAAGTTTCTTGTTAATTTGTCTTTACCAGCATTGAAAAAAATTAGCTTAAAAAAAGTCTTTCTTTATTTGACATTTTGAACATTAGGCCTATTATCTGTAAATTAGAATTCCAAAAATCTGCCTTTTCAAAATACTTATTATTTTGTCTGTGTGTGTGAGTGAGTTTGTGTGAAATAAAGGCTTATTTTGCTGTGATGCATCAGCAAGAGGAGTTCAAGCATGGATGCTTCTTGTCACCTCAAGTTTTTTTCACTACATGTTGTCTATATATGATCTGTTTTTGAAAATATGCATACCCTAAAATTATTTTTTAACTAAATTTGTTATTAAATACCAAAATTTTGACAGCTATCCAAGTAATCTGTTAACATGTTGCAATGGGGTAATTCAGGTAGACTTGATAGACACATTTCTTTTATACCCTATATACTGTACATTAACAGGCGCTAATGTGTATAAATAATGGATGAAATTATCTTAAGTTGCAATTTTGTCTTTGTATTGTATTTGCAAATGAAATTCTCATTATCTTTTGTAATTTCTGAAACAATACCTTTATTGTTAAAACAATACAAAACATTTACACATCTAAGAACATTTTAACAGTTATTAAATGTCATTTTACATTGAGCATGATTTGATGCACACCAATATGTTGCTAGCTACCAACAATCAGCTTATTGAAATATTTTATGTATCTGCATTTTACATTCGTTATGTGAATAATATTAAAGCATTAAAAACCACAGAGTATTTATAAATGTTGGAAGGAAACTGACAGACTTTATTTATTTATTTATTCTCCTCTCAGGTTTGTAGTTTACATCACTTTACCACTCCTCTTTCAAAAACAGATTAAAGTGTTTCCATGCCATACGAAATCAGGATACTGGGCATATACTGGTCTAGCTGTATCAGATTATACTTATCCGTTTATGACTTAACACTGTAACAATTTAACACGAAAACAACTTAACGCGACCATGTCATGTTGACTTATGCCTAATTGGTTGGAGAATGAGCGTGTAAACATGCACATTTTGTTATCCTTACACCAAACATTAAACATAAAGATAATTTCATATGTTTGATTTTATCTGAAAAACATACAAATGCAAGCTATAAAGTTGGTTGTTGTGTTTAATTTTGTAAAGTAATAATGATTTTGTAAAGAATGAGTAATGATTTTTTTCAGTGCATCTACTAAATGTTGACACGTAACATTCTATCAGTATCTCAGATTTTGGCCAATGTTTTGTGTAATGTGCTGCTAAATGTAGTGATATAAACATATTCGTGTTCATTCCGCTAGTCTTGTACTATTCTAGTTGGTAAAGTACACTCTACGGCCATTGAAGCATTTTTACACAGTGTGCTGAATGGAGTCATTCTAGCCTGTCTAAAATGGATGATTTACTCTAGTGGCTTTTAATGACTTTTGGCTGAAGTTAAATGTCTTTGCTATCACATTATTAACTGTGAATGAATTATTACGCCTCTGATTCATGCTCACTGAGATTGAACAGCTCAAATAATGTATTTGAAGTTTGTTTCTCTAGGGTCATTTTTGAGTGTTCTTGCAGTACATTCTTATATCTTACCTGTTAAAACACAGTTTGTGCTGAATATCCTTTTTAAAGACAAATTTAATCAATTTACTTTATTTGTTTACATACAGTTTTGCTGCTTTCAAATGGTAAGCAATCATTTTTTGTGAAATGTTATCAGCACATATTTTAAACCTTTTAAACATCATACGAGCAAGCAACCTCTATAATATCAAATACACTAAAAAAAAACAAATACAGTGCTATGGTAAATATCACAATAATAAAAACCTGTACTGCCTTAATTAAATCTCTCAATATAACATAAGTGCTTGTTTGAGTTGAACATACTAAAATAAATCCAACAGTTAATTTAGTTCGAAATTTACTTAATTTCACAAAAAGAAATTAGCATTTGATTAACAAATTATATTTTGACATTTTTTGGTACATTTTAATAAAAATATTTGAGAATGGAGTGGTTACACTGATCTGTTTCAAGAACTACAATTATTGCTCATTCTCTTTGAATATTCTTCATAACAACTTAAGAATTTGAGTGATTTGCTTAGATAAACCTCATGACCTATAGGCAAAATTAACAAATGCCCACAGAGAGAGAGAGATAATCTATTTTTCTCCATCATGTGTTGCTTTGAACTGTATTAGTTGTGTAAATATTGAAGTTAAGTGTTTGTGTATTATCACACAAGATTAATATAGTGAGAGATCTGTTAGTGTTGACTAATTTTATATTTTCATACTTATAGGGGATTCTGTTATGTTGCAGTTTTGATGGTTACCATTGTGGTTTGAGTTGAATTATTGGATTTTGCACCATACTCATTTTTTTATGTCATACTATGAATTATGGTTGTAAAAATAGTAGGGATGTGCATCTCACGATACGCATCTCGATGCATAGCCAACGATATGATACATTAAAGATACATATGAAGCAGCTACAGATGCGATGCGATACGATTTACCCCTATTACGATGTAATCTGATTCGATTCGATTCAACACAATGCGATTCGATGTAATACGATGCAATGGAGAAAATATGATAACTTTTCATGGCTTGAGGCCTGTTTCATAAAACAAGTTAACCAAATAAGCCAGGCTTATTTCAGTTAGTCTGACTGATTGTCAAATGATTTGGTTCCATTAAGCAAATTTAACATAGGCTTAGATCAAGCTTAGTCACTGTGGCAACTTATGCTGGGAAACTAACCTGGTCTAGAGCAGGCTAACTGTCAGGCTAATCTAAGCTCCTCTACTGACCAATAGGAACATAATGATATTACCACTGTCTCAGTTTATACTATTACTATTATTATTACATACTATTAGTACATACTATTAGTACATACTACTATTTTTGTTTGTTTGTTACAGTTTCTAGCCATGCAGCCTTTCTCTCTGGTTTTATTACAGCTAGCAGAACATTAGGATATTACAATCTAAAATTGCTCTTTAAAGCATTAAAATAACTAAATTAGAATTTAAAATCACTGAATTAAAAATGAAAATAAATAATAAAAGAAAATGACTACATTTGAACTGCTATAAGAAACACACATTAACTCATTTGAACTTAGTAATTAGTACTGTAGCCTACTAGCTTACATTTGATTGACCTATTACAATAGTCCACTTACAGTTACTGCTATCATAAAAATACACTTTATATGTAGGTTTAAAATTCTACAAAAGACACATTTAATGTCCAAAAAAACAATTTTTTTTAGCAAAATGTATCTTTTACTCAGAATTATTGCACTCCTATTCGATTGCGCTCTGTCTGTTTAGTACGCATGCGTGCAGCAACGCTCGTTCACTCGCGTCAGCCTCGCCCACCCCTGACCAAAATGGATATGTTTGCATGACTTTCTAACATTTACAGATGAAAAATATACTTGTGACATGTCAGTTATGCACTGAGGAAAACACAACGTCTCAAATGCATTAAACAGCACAGATATATTCGCTGTTTGTCATGGTGGATCGATTTGATCCATGATCGACATTAAGATCTGCTTAACAATAAGCGTGCACAAATTAGTGAGATTGTGTGAATTTAATTTGTCGTTAATGGAACCGCTTTAGCCCCGATTGATTTGTTAGGTTATTTCAAGTCAGCTTTTGGACTTTAATCCCAGTTTTTCCTCGGGTCTCCATGGTGCTGTGATGCGCAGCATATTCACGCAGCAGCAGTGATGAAAGAACGCGCTTGAGTAACAGTTTAGAGAGGAGAAATCAATCTACATATAAAATATTGGTCACAGATTATTGGTCACTTTCTAAATAATAAAAGTATAGCGCATCCACTAGTAATTATATATAAATTAATCATTTTTTACCGATGCAAATATGTTAGAAACGATGCATCGCGATATAAATGACAACTTGTAACCGATGCACACTTTTTAAAGCGATGATTAACTTTTTTATGCCGATGCACCGAGCAAATCGGGGAATCTTCCCATCCCTAAAAAACTGTGATATTGTTGTCTTGTTAGCTGCTTAACAACAGGATTCAGATTTGCCTCATATTTGAAGTTTGCATAGTTGATTCTGTTACTTTCCTGTTTAATGCTGTGAAGATGCTTTGAAACAATCTCAACTATATAAAGCACTATAAAAATAAAGAAAACTTGACTTGTGAAATAATATATCGTGATATTTTTAAATAAAGTCCAAAAGTTTGTGAGTTTCTCGAATTTGAAATCATTTTATTTCATGTTGTTCAAAAAATTTGGTATATTTACTTTTTTTCTCTTGTGTTCTTCAATATGTGGGAAAGACCAATTGACAACTGAGATTTCGTATTAATAAACACAGAAGTGCTAATAGTAAATCACCAGTTTGCCCAACATTAACATTAAATCATCCAGTTAATGATTTTTTTGTTTGTTTTTTGTGTGTTTCCAATATGTTGTTACACCAGTATGGAAGAGAAATTATTAAAAACTGAAAGTAAATGGATTTTTCGACTTGATACTGTACAGTCAGATGGTTTGAATAAAGATATTAATTTGTCTAGTTTTCTGTAATGTGAGTGTAGTTGTATTTGTAAAAATTAATTAATTAATTAATTCATTCATTCATTCATTCATTCTCTTTCTCTGAGTATTTGTCAACTGCCAATTGAGTAGCTGGTCTATAAATGATTGATTGAATTGAAATGTAATTGTATATAAAGATTAAATGTTTCAAACTAATGTGAACACTGTGGAAGGTTCTGGGTGACTGAAACTTTTGTTGTGAATTTTAAATGCACTGGGCACTTTTATGCTTTTATGCTTGTAACAGTAAAAGAAAGTAAGATTACAGCGTGTAATCCTATTTTTATATACACAGTGACTTAATTTTTAGTATTTTTTAGTAATTTTTTTACTAGGGAATTTAGGAATTTATTTATTTGTAATCGTACAAATTTATAAATATAAAATAAATACATAAAACATTATTATATTTATGTTTATAAGATATCTTTTATAAAATAAATATTTAATATGCATATGTGTGATTGATTAAAAGAATCTGTTAAGAGTCATTAATCTGTGAATCAGACAACACTGGTCATGCTGTATGTGTTTTTTAATTTTATTTTAATTTTTTTCAGTTCAGACTCCTTAAAAAAGAGACATCTGCAATCAAAAAATGGAAAGTTGTCAGATTTAGTGAAGTAGTTACGGTTTTGTTGGACAGATGTTTAGTGATCCTCAACTGTCTCTGTGTTTTCCCCTCAGTCAAACCTCTGCCTCTGTCGCCGCTGGATCCTCAGTCATCTGTGCTGATCGGAGCGGCCGCTGAGCATCAGGATTTGGAGCTGCGGCTACAAGATGTGGAGGAACATAACCATGCTCTGCGGAGAGAGATTAGCTTGCCGCCCAGGGTTCCAAACCATAGCAGTCATCATAGCAACAGTCGCCAAGGCAACCATTTACACACCCATTCCACAGAAGAGGGTACAGGTGATAGCGAGGCTAAAAAAGGGGCAACCTCGAGCAACAGCTCGGACTGTGTGCCTCAGCCTGTGGTGAACAAATGTGAGGTTAGTATGCTAAATCAAGACTTTACACTGAACAGATTCACCATTATCAAGACCCTAAAGCCAGGCTCACACTGTGCGATTTTGGCCACGATTTGGTCGTCTGAGACAAATTTTGAAAATCCTCAAAAATTCGTATAATCCTAGGCTAAAATCTGTAGTCTTTGATCGCTGGTTTGACATGTTCACCGACAGCCGATTAATGACTGTTGCGATCAAATTTTACCTCAGACGAAATTCTGGTAGTGTCAGAATATTTGGCGCACAGTCCTGCAGTGTGACTTCTCCTACGACGAACATCGAACTGTCTTAGTTTTTCAAGACAAGCCATGATCAGAATTAATGCTAGAGATTTCTTCTATCTGCATAAACTCCAGTGCTCCGCCTCTGCTCACGGAAATCATACGATATGTTGCCTTTGCTATATAAACACCGGTTGTGTCGCTGTTTTCATGTGGGTGTGTAGAGCTGCTTACACTATTTTTCTTAAATACGCCGGTATTGCCGCCATTCATGTACTTTTCATGATAGCCAAAATTTCAGCCTGGTGTGTAGTGCAGCTCGCAGTCACTGAACGTTTATAGGTTGATAATGTAAAACTACAGACAAGTTTTCTTGCACGCACCCGTTTTTAATGCGTCTTGACTGTCGTACAGTCTGACATTAATGACAACTGAGATCCCACAGCGTGACATGATCATCATGTTCGTACAGTCTGACAAGTAACAATCGTAAAGGACTATTAAAAATCACACAGTGTGCGCCAGGCTTAACCCTGACTCATCCTCAGATTCCTCAAATCATATGTTTAGTTGTGGAGAGATGTGCTGAGGCTTAACTAAGTGATCAGACAACACCCTAGATATACCACCCAGAACATTCTTTGACTGCATAACACCATAGCAACAATTGAGAAGACCCTAAAAACTGTATAGCAATCTAGAATTATGGCATTTTTTTATATTTTCAGAAAACATAGTTTCTGTTCATTGGTATTTCCCTACTTTGTGAATTTAACTATGATATGATTTGATAAAATTGTAGAGTTAGAAATTGTGAACTGAAATGTATGTATTGCATACAGAGTCGGCGCCAGCCCATACAAACTGGGGGGCATTTGCGTTTCTAGAGGGGGCCTTGGTAGAAATCGACAAGGTGAGGGGGCACAGGGACCGAAGTGGCCGGGCCAGGCACTGATTGCATCAATAGACCAGTTTGCAAACAGTGATGACGTTTTTTGTGGGCGGAGCCTATCTGGTGGCAGAAAATGCCAGTTGTCATGTAGAAGTCTATGGAAGCCATGGAATAAAATAATTTAAAAAAAGGTACATTTGAGTTTATATTTAAAAATTCTGACTTTATTCTCGCAATTCCAAGATTTCTGATAAGAAAAATCAACTTGTCATTCTCTCTCTTCCCCTCGGCTCACAGTCATGAGTTTATATTCCACACTTCTGGCTTTTTTTCCTCAGAATTGACAAACTCGCTATTGTTGAGTTAAGTCGAGTTGTGAAGTCCTAACTAGGAGATATACACTTTCATTTGCGTGAAAAAAAAAGTCATAATTGTATTGTAAAATTTTATAGGTTTAAATAGTATTTAATGCTTAACTAGGGCTAATACGATGTCCCCTATAAACTGCATATGTGAATATTATGTTGACCTATTGTTTCAATAAAAAGTATGCTTTAAAAGTAGAGTAATCAGAGCAGGTTTCATCCATAGTCTGTCCGTTTAAACGTCTGCGTTTAGCTTCAAATCACGTCTTTGATGACAGTATTCTATAAAAATTATTTGCATTCCAATTCTGACATCCAAAGGCACAACAATACTTTTTTTTCTCTTATTCCATGGATTTTAACTGTTTCCAGTGTTTTTCTGCCACCACAGTGCGCACACAGCTGCAAGTGACGTAACTCTGACGTCTACTCCAAATTGGTCTATGCTGCTTCAAACTGTTCTAAATACTACTTGTCTTTCTCATCACAGACCATTCATATTGCCATTGTGTGTGCGGGGTACAATGCGAGCAGAGATGTTGTCACACTGGTCAAGTCAGTTCTGTTTCACAGGTAAATTCAGAGTCTGTGTCTGTCCACATTCATAGGATATTCACTGCTCTCTACATTGAGCAGTATTTTTTTTGTTTGTTTTATTTGACTAAACTTAAAACATAATACAAACAAACCCATAAAGACTAATTCATACACATTTCAAAAACTGTCGAGGATAATATACACAAAAAGCCATAAGCTTATTTCCATTGTGGTCCTTGGTATTTAAAAAATGGACAAACAAATCATAAATGGAGTGCAATCAACATCAAGTTCAGAAACTCACAGAACAACTCCTATACATTAATGATAAAAAAGCCATTTTTTAAAGGGATAGTTCACTTAAAAATGAAAATTCTGTCATTAATTACTCACCCTCATGTCGTTTCAAACCCGTAAGACCTTTGTTCATCTTCGGAAAACAAATTAAGATATTTTTGATGAAATCCGAGAGCTTCGTGATCCTCCATAAACAGCAACGGAACTGAAACGTTCAAGGCCCAGAAACGTAGTAAGAACATTGTTAAAATGGTCCATGTGACATCAGTGGTTCAACCGTAATTTTATGAAGCTACGAGAATACGTTTTGTGTGCAAAGAAAACAAAAATAACGACTTTATTCAACGATTTCTTCTCTCCTGGTACTGTCCTCCACCATTATCGTGAGTACCACAATGCATCCCGGGAGATAAAAATCGTTGTCATTATTTTTGTTTTCTTTGCACGCAAAAAGTATTCTCGTAGCTTCATAAAATTACGGATGAACCACTGACGTCACATGGGCTATTTTAACAATGTTCTTACTACGTTTCTGGGCCTTGAATGTTTCAGTTCCGTTGCTGTTTACGGAGGGTCAGAAAGCTCTCAGATTTAATTAAAAACATCTTAATTTTTGTTCCGAAAATTAACATAGGTCTTATGGGTTTGGAACGACATGAGGGTGAGTAATTAATAGCAGAATTTTTAGTTTTGGGTGAACTATCCCTTTAACTTCTATTCTAAAAATACAATCAGCTTGTATCTGCTTAATACAACCAGGTAATTCATTCCTAACAACAGAGCTAGTACATAAAAAAAGAATTCCCAAGATTTCCTATTACATTCTTAAATCTTCAAGGATAAATATCATTACTACTCGCTCTTGTAATCAACTAGGATGCTACATTATAAAGTTACTGTTTATTTAGACAACAATATAGCTCAGTAAGTTTTTTAACAGAGCTCGAGTGTCCAAGTACTTTGGAAGTCTTATTGACCAGACTGAAATTACCATTCTTTCGTTCTGCAATACAATGTAAAAGTAGTAAAGCTAGAATCAGGTCTCATGACTGATAATGCTCTCTGCTTATACACTCTCCTGTAATGTAGTGTATGGAATGGCTTTCACTATTTTATCACGCAGTCAAATAACTTTATTACGCTGTTATGGCTTTATTGTGCCATTGCTACTCTCATCTTAGTTTGTAAGGATAAAAGCAATGACATTGATATATTTTATTCCTTATGCTATTTCTAACTAATGATTCAGAATATCCTGGATTTTTGTATATAATAAAAAGTAATGAAAAGTGAGTAAATGATATCAGAATTTTCATTTTTGGGTGTACTAGTGAATATTAAATGACAGGAAATATTTGTTCTCTCTGTGTCAGACGTAACCCACTCCACTTCCATTTCATCACGGACTCCATCGCTCGAAAGATCCTGGCCGATCTCTTCCACACATGGATGGTGCCGGCCGTTCACGTCAACTTTTATGACGCTGATGAGCTGAAGGTTTGTGCGGCTACTGCTTTGCTCAGTAGAGCTCACTTTTTCAGCAGAATTGATGATGAAAGTATTTTTTCTCTATTCATTTTCTATGTAGGGTTTTCAAAAGATTCTTAAAGATTCTGATTCCTTAACCAAACCAACCAGCTCTGAAATGAATCACATCACTGAGTTAAAGCAGTGTTTATGTATGAATAACTTCTTATTCCTTGAATCATTGCATATTATATAGTCATAACAATCTCTGTTTACACTAGTTGCCGAGTTGGTTATTTCATACTTACTCATTTGTTTTTATTGAAAGGTAATGTACCAAAAAACATGTCATTTTTGTCAGACTCTGCTGTCTATAAAGCTTATTTTGTTGGAATGTACTACTTTAAATGCCACTAGGCAACGTTTTTTTTAGCTCTCTAATAAATGTTTTAAAAAAATGTTTCACCAGGAATAACCTTTTTTTTAAAAAATCAAATATTGAAGTGAAAAATCTGTTGTTTTTCATTACTACTACTACCTTTTTTTAAAATTTTTTTTTATTTTTTTATTTTAAATACATAGGCAGTGGTGTATAAAGTACCTGAAAGCCATACTCAAGTAAAAGTACAGATATCTTACCAGAAAATGACTTTGGTAGAAGCTGAAGTCACCGTTTAGAATATTACTTAAGTAAAAGTCTTGTATTTGATATTATGTAAAGTATGTGATATTTATTGTACTTAAGTATTGAAAGTAAAAGTACAAGTAAATGCAAAATGGAAAAGAAGCAAATAAATAATATATATATAAAATGTTCATACACAGCTTGAGTAGCAATATTGTGTTCAGTTTTAACTCTTTCTTCCATTTTGTATTTTTGGGTAAGAATAAGAAACACTTTATCCAGTACTTAGTCTTTCATTCCAACATAAGAAAACATTTCTGGAATCTGCATCTGACATAGCATTTAGATGTATTTACACAGTTTATATATCTCAGGGGACATGGATGCATTTAAACTGCAGTTACAGATGCATAAATAATGTTTTGTTTTTAACATAAAACGTTGAATACTGATATTTGAAATGATCTAAAACATGATGAAATGTGAAATTAAAACCGCCAGTAGGAGACAGCAAGTGACTGTTAACGAGTGAGTCATTGAGATTCAACCGACTCATTCAAATGACTGATTCATTCAGAAACAAAGCATTTGACTGTTAATGAGTGAATCACTGAATCATTTATTCAAACACCGTCCATTGCTCAGAGACACAAAACAGTGCTGTGATCTTTGTTTCGAACTATTTTTGTTAGCAAAATTTAGCAAAAACAAGCAATATTATGTCTAAAATGTAAGTCACTTATTGCTTTACTGAACTTATATAAAATGATTATTATTCATGCTGATATCGGCAGAAAAACGGCCTACTCTTTGTGTGATATAGATTAAGTTAACTATATTAAATTATATAAATATAAAAAGCAGTACAGAATAATTTTTGCCATCTACAATTTAGAATGCCTTGAATTTTGAGTTTTAATAGACTAATAAATCAACGTGCGTGCACTCTGTGCTTGATTTGGTGATATAACCTACTTGATAATGTCAGATCGCACATCATTACAACAACACTTACCATATTATCGCAGACGATGCTGTATCGCACACCCCAGACTCGACTTGAGTGGAAAATGAAATCATCCGGTTGTGCGCACACTTGTTTGCACATGAGCAAAGGTGTTTTTTAGGAGTCTCCCTTGCAAAAGCCAGACCACGGATTCGTCAAGCCTGCTTTCCTGCAGTCCATGTTCTTCTGACTTCTGACTATTTTGTAGTAAGTAACGAATATGCTTCGGGGAAATGTATCGGAGTAAAAGGACATTTTTAATTAGGTAATGTAGTGGAGTAAAAGTAAAAGTTGGCTGAAATATAAAAACTCAAGTAAAGTACAGATACTCCCAAAATATACTTAAG